ACAGTGGACTAGAGGAACGCGTTGTTCCTTGAACCACTATAAAAATATCCGGTGTCATTTACTTTACTGCAATTTATATTTCTGCACTTAGGATATTAACTGTTAACTCTAAGACTTGGAATCTGTGTTCAGCAGATCTTGTTTTCAGAGTTATCAGAAAGGCATTTGCCTTAGTGTTTCTGAGGCTACCCGGACAGATCAGAATCCGCTGCCAAGGCCAGTTCTGATATCAGAACCAGCCTTTCTCTGTCACCAGAATCAGACATTCTCTGATAAGTCATTTTGGACTTACAGAAAAGCTGAAAAACCAATCAGTCTATTCACCCCCCCCTCTAGACTGATTACTATATTAAACGGGACCAACACATTTGTATATGCATTCATATGAAATTTTAAAATGAGCATAATATCAATACTAAATGAGCATACATTATTTACAACATGAGCACTTAAACCATTAAAAAAATAATCATTAGAAATCTTTAATGTGCTCATATGTTTTTTTTAAAATGCTCATTTCTTTCTTCCAAAAAATAATTCCTTTCAAAAGATGGATTCAAATGAGTTGTCCTTGAGGGACTTCAATCTTGTTCCCTACACCCTTCGACTACTGATACATGCGATGTGTGGCAAACCAGGCTTATCCTACTCCAAAGCAACCGGCTGATACAGAAGTTGTGTGTGGCAAATCAGGGTTATTCACTACTAGAAAAATGGTCTACAGTGACACTAAATTAGTGTCACTAAAATTTTTAGTGACACTTAAAAAGTGTCAACGAATGGTGGGAGTTGCGACACTAAAATTAGTGTCACGGAAAAAGTGTCAGTAAATGATGACACTACGGTATCACAAGATTTAACGATACATTTCTGTTGACATATTTAATGATACATTTACGTCATATGGATTAGTGATACTCTAGTATTACAAAGGTTACTGATATTTTTGCGCGATCAAGATTCTGTGACACTTTGGTGTTTTAAATAATAATGACACGCTGCTATCATTTTTTTTATACAGTATCATGTGTTGAACAAGTTTTATAAGCTAGGGTTCAAAATCATATTTGAAACCATCATATCCACCTAAAATTATAATATTCAAGCTTATCAAACTAAAATCAAATTCATAACTACTCAATGCCTCAATGTATTCCATAAAACATTTAGATTGATATCAAAGTCAACATGAAAATTCAAAGACATTTAACTTGTTCTTCAAAGCAAATTCCAAAATACCAATATTCTAAAACTCCAGTCTACATAAGGCTGCAAACACAAAGTAGTATTTTACATACATTCTGGAAAAACATAAAGTATATTCCGCAACATCAAAAAATTATGCTTTGCACATTTGTTTAACAGCCATATTACGCAAAAGTCCAACTGCCACCATTCATCACATTCGTCACTGCTGAAGTCTGTAAAAACAATGATAACAATCATATTAGTATCAATCCTAATTGTTGGAAATTACATTTTTAACACACTTATTTCAAGGAGTACAAATTTAACTTACTCTTTGATTAGGTTTGCTGCATATGAGATCCATTCCTCACGCACTTGCAGAATGTCATCTTCAGAGTACTCATTGACTGTGGAGAACTAAAACAACACCAAAATACAAACTTTATATTTCCTTCACAAAAGACTACCAAAATCAATAATTAAGCATAAACAAACTGAAGCACTAAAACCATTTTGAGTACCACTCAAGCATCTCAATGAGGTGTCCTTAAAGGACCGAAACAAAAGAATTGAGGGCTACAAAAGTACAAACTCTCCCCTCAAAGGTAAATAAAAGCAATTTACCTTAATTGTTACCCAACTGATTTGCAAAAGCAATTTATTACCCAACTGGTTTGCAAAAAAAAAATTATTTTCATGTCTTCTTTCATCTAACTTAACCTTAATTGTATTTCAGATCATTAACAAACATAATGCATTGTCTTAGAAAAGTTAAACATGCCCAAACTATACTAGTCAAACTAAACTTACTACCTAACATTAATAATACACCAACACCTAAAATTGAAATCTTTGGACGACGCCTATGAATCAGTAATACACCAACACCATACACTCCATACCAATCATTACTAAAGTGAAATAAAAGGTTCTACAACAGTTCATTGAATGTCAACATACAAACACAGATCAGTGTACTTAAACCTCGTTTGTACTTCAAATCATTAACAAACATAATGCATTGTCTTAGAAAAGTTAAACATGTCCAAACTATGCTAATCAAACTAAACTTACTGCCCAATATTAATAACACAGCAACACCCAGAATTTAAATCTCTGAACGCCTATGCATCAGTAATACACCAATACCATACAATCCATACTAAGCATTACTAAAGTCAAATGAAATGTTCTGCGGCACTTCATTGAAATGTCAACAAACAAAAACACACTACCAGTGTACTAATGAACATGATTAAATGATTAATTTGACTCACATTATTTTTCAGCACATCAACATCACCGATAATTTCTTTGATGTACTTCATTACGAAGTACCCACACTCCAATGATCCTCTTTGCTTCGGACACTACACACATTTAAATTTGTTACTTTAAAAGTTTTATAAAGAATGTATTGGGAAAATACAACCATTAATTGAAATGGATATATACCTTGACTGTGATCCAGTTCAATTTCAATCTGTCTTTTGACTTCAGAGCATGATACATTTGCACTCCTCTGAGAACAAACAGTCAAGTACACAATTAGTTAAGAAAGGCAGTATATTAGGCATTCACAATACTCAAGAAAACAAAGAAAATTGTGCTTTTTAGGCGGATTATGGCTTAACTGAGTGACAATTATCTTCAAATCTTCTGGTGGAATTCCTCCGATGGAATCCAAGTAATACATTCTTCCCATCTCCACATCAATGGCAACCAACACCCAATGGTCCCTGTGTGAGAAAAATCCTTGACAATTAACCATTATATAGAAATAACATTAACAAAAGGCATTATTTCAAATAATACCCTGCATTATACGGTAGTAGTGTAATTTGTCCAGGTAACCCAACTCCAAGAAGGTCTGCCACGTAATGGGACCTTCTATTCATCGACTCCTCAGACGCTTTTTTAGGACGGTGTATAGCCACAGATGTCCCGAACTGTACAGGCATTTCTCCTCCGTTGTCCACCATTTTTTCATGAAGGGACCTACATATAGTAATGATTATATGGGGTAAAATTTTAACTTCAAAAAGAATCTAAACAAAAAAAAAATCTAGACGCTTACTTGCACCAAAGTTCTATGATTGAGTTTGCAACCTTCTGACAGTTGATGACTAAGTTGCACATGTCCTTGTTAAAGGTAGTTTTGGTAGGGAACCCAAACACATCTGCATCATTCTGGATCGTATACCCGTCACCCATGCATTTGTCAACTAGGAAGGAGAACATGTTCATGTTAATGCTTTTTTCTTTTCTTTTATCCACCAATGACCTCGTGGTCCGTTGCATATTCAGTTTTCTGGAAGCTGGTGCGACCTTTTTCTTCATTTCAGGCCTACTACGTACTTCCACAACCTGTACATCACCCTTCTCCAAATCTATACCCTTATCCTGTAATGGAACAACACAGCAAACTGGTTCTGTCTTCTGTGGGAGGTGGCGGGGGGATCTCCGTGGAAAGTATTTGCTCTGTTCACTCTTTTTTGGACTCGGCATTTCAACCTTTACAATTTTTGGACATTGTTCTTCTTCCTCTTCAGTTTGAAACCAAGGTTGTCCTGCAAAATCTCCCTCTACGGTCCTTTCTCCAAGTTCTTCGACCTGCCATACAAATTTAAGATTTTAATAGTTAATATTATCATTTGATATTCTTAGATGTTTTTAATGTTACCTTTCTTTTTACATATCGTCTCTTTGGACGTTCTTCATCTTCATCTATTGGTGGCTTAGGTTGAATCCCCTTAGATGTGGTAGAGGTGTGCCTGGGAGATCTTCTAGGAATAGATGCCGTGAATGTTTTCTTAGGGGTAATCGTTGGCTTCTCAACCTCCTCAAGAACCTGCAATAAATATACATTCAATATAATTTAAGTAACTTATAAGTTATAAAGGCCCTGCAATTTAGATAAGATAAAATTGGTAATATATATACATGTTACAATACCTACCTTTAAGTTAATGTTGTGTATCATAAAAAATAAAATGAACAGCTTTTTCTTGACCACCGATTGAAACTAAAAGCCTAAATTATCGCTACTAACCTTTTAAAGGACGTACAAACATTAGAACGGGCAATTCCATGCCAAACATTTTATTGGACTTTCTAGGTTGGAAAATTGTAACCAGAAACCTAAATTGACCCTAAAAGCCTATAAAGAAATTGAACAAAGGGGGACTAATCAGATGTTGGTGGCGGTTATCAGGTTATGAATCCACCTGACAATTTAACATTTAGCTTTAAAACTAATTGTTATCAGTCCAGATCCATGTCAATTGTCAACCCCTATAGTAAACCCACTTTTCAAGTCTTCAGATGCATCGATCAATTAAATAGTAAACTTTTCAAGCCTTCAGATGCATCAATCAATTATAAAGTAAATATTACAGACAATCTCAGAATTGCGTTCATTGTTAACTCTGTCATAACATTGTTATACACGTATGGGATATTTAAAAGTGTGTGTATATATATATAAAGTAATAATATGGGACAAGACTAATGGGACAAGAGGATGTCAGTAGCTTGCATGCCATAACCAAAGCCTAACTAGATTTATACTCTCTCGATTACAATAGAAGAGATAAGTCTAGCTAGCAAACATGAGGTTGAGTTATCAAGGTTACTAGCAGTCTCTTCCAGGTGTTAAAGTGAGATATTTTGACATTCACTCGTCATAACTTTTAAGCCAGTTTTATAAAATATAAATGTTCACTACTAAATAAGTATGGTAATTTAAAAGGTTATATATCTATTTCTCCCTTTATAGAAATGAGTAGTATAAACCTGTTGCTTTCCAGTTTCACAAGTTGGAGACTTGGTGGCAATACTACAGCTGCCAATATCACTAGCAACAAAGGCACTGATTTGTGCTTTCAACTCATCGAACCGTTGTGCCATCATCGCATATCTTCTATCACAAATTTTCTCCGCTTCTTGCTTCTCTGAAGCCTTACCCATAGGCTTGTTAAAGTACGTAGATGTAGTGATGAAGTGACCTACTCCTTGTACTCTACTTCCATTTGGCCTTTTATCTAGGGCAGCTGTGAGTATGTCAGCACAACCATTGGGAACAAACAACCCTTCTTCTACCATCTGCTTCAGCTCCTTCTACAAAAAATCATTGATAAAACAGTTTAATCTGCTAATGATACTTCAGGTACTTTAATTTATCATTGATTTTTTTAAATAAAACTTTAAGTTAAATCGGTAATGCTAATGATACTTGAAGTTAACTTTAACTTAACTTCGCACATCAACTATATTGTATTTAACTATCTACAGAATATAAGTTAACTTTGATAGTATCATGTACTCACACTAAATACTAGATAGTTAATTCATTAGTCATTACAGTAGGTAAATCAATTTAGTAAAACAGAACTGCTTCATGTAGTTAATATTTATATCCTTCGAATAAAAGCTAGTGTATGATACATACAATTTTTTCAGCGATTTCTTTCACGTCGTCATCATATTCTCCATTTTTTTTCTTTCTTCCTAAAAGCCATGTATCTGCACGATCAATATCCTTCAACATACCTCCAAGCTCTTTTTGCTAACAAATTAGACCAAACAAATATTTAGAGTAATTCTGGTTGTGAAATTAATGAATCATTAAAGATGTAAGAGAATAAACCTTCCTCTTCAATAGCCCTGCATAACCACTTGACCCCAATCGATGATTGTACTTGTTCTTTTTCCTTCTCTCCTTCGCTTTTTCACTTTTAGCCTGCATGTTTTAATCATACGTCAAAAGATTCAGTTTAATATTTTACAAAGATATTAAAGTGCACAGATTTTTAAATTAAATTCATATATAACTGACCTTAAATTCTTCTTTGAAAGTCTTTTTAACAAAGAGTCTCCATTCATCAGTTCCTATGTGCTTGAACTCTTTAGGAGGAAACCGCAAAGCCTTGGAACCTGGCTTGTAGTGTAAGATAAATTCGTTGCGCAAAGTAGACCTGAAATTTCTTAAAGCAGCACTCATTGTTCCAAAGACTTGTTTTTGAGACCTAGGGGTCAACACAAACATTTTCTGTAGTTCAAAATAATAAGAAATATTAGTGAGTAGAGAACAAAAGTAATAAGTTAACTGGAAGAGTATCAAATACAATTTACTTATTTCTTACAAGAAGATGCTGCCACATCTCTTCCTTAACTTCAGGTGGTACGTATCTCCAGTCATCATGAAGTATGCACACAGTATCCCTCACCACAACCCCAATATAATTAGCTAGGTTAGTCCATCCATCACCACAATGAACACCGAATTCATTTACTTCCACTTCCACTTTATCATCAGCCGCCTTTCGAAGTAAAAGTTTCTTTTTTGTCTTCTGCCGCCTCTGTGGTCTCTCAACAAACTCATCCATGTCATCCTCTTCATAAAAGTCATCCATAACTTCTTCACCTTTTGACATAGCTTTCGTGTATTCTAAAAAAAATCAAATAAATGTAATGTTAATGTTAAAACACAAGAAATTTTAATGATCAACAACTTAACTGTAAAATATTATTCAAACAAAAATTAACGTAGTATATAATTACTTACCAAAACACATAAGAGATATGTCCAGCTTTGACTAGTTATTAATAGGGGTTGCATCCAAGTCTATTCTATTATAGATCTGATCATCATCTGGGTTTTGGGTATCAATAACATGCATAGGGTATTTTGATGTTAGCGGTTCATGAATTACTAGTTCATCAGATCCAAAATCTATACCTTTGTTGAGTCTTTGACCAACTGAACACACAATTGAACTTTTCTGATCACGTTGATCTTTTACATAAAACACTTGTTTTGCATGAGCAGCTAAAATGAAACAATCTTTTTTGTGACCAATTTTTTTTAGATCTACAACTGTGAAACCCAAGTTATCTTGTTTCACATGCCTACTATCTACCCAATCACACTTAAACATCACCCTCTTAGTCATAAGATAGTGAAGAACCCAAATTTCATCAAGAACGCCATAGTAATTCATGGGGTGTGTGGCTGCACAGCTCTCCTTGGAACCAGAAACTAGAACGGTGTCTGCTACAAGGCTAACCCCGCTATTTTGTGTCACACGGTTTGAGTCTCGAGCCTTAGTAGCAAAGCTAAAACCATTTATAATGTAGCCCGAGTAAACTGTCACAGTTGTGTTGGGCTTCTTTGATAGCCACTTCACTGTTTGGTCAACAATCACACCGTTTGCAACATCAACTTTAACCTAAATAAGTATAGTTAGTATTTTAGTAAAGATCTGATTCACACAGACTTATAGTTTGTAAGTACAAATCTTAAGTAAATAACCTTCTCCTCAAACCACTTAGTAAAAGTACGGTAATGCTCTGTTTCACAACACCCAATATCTTGTGCTTGCAGGTGCAACATATGATCCCTAGCATTTTATATTAGACAACCGATTAATTAGATACTTCAGTTCAAGAAAGACTATAAACAAGATAAAATTGATCTAGCTTAGGACTTACTCTATGTAAGGCTGGACTTCAGGTGTATTGAATAAGACGGTGCGATGTGCTTGCTCTAGCAATGAGAGATCAACAATCTTAGTGTCTCCTTTACCTAGAGGCCTCTCAATTGGAACATCATCATCACCATGCCCAGGTAGACCAATTGGTTTATGGTTAGAGAGATATTCGGCACAAAACTCAAGTGATTCCTCTGCTGCATAACACTCGGCAATGCATCCCTCGGGATAATAATGATTACGGACATGCCCCTTTAACAGTTTCATGCTTCTTTCGAAAGGGTACATCCAACATAAGTACGGTGGGCCACATAGTCGGATTTGAGCCACAAGATGGACCGTCAAATGAAGCATGATATCGAAAAAAGAAGGCATGAAATATTGCTCAAGGGAACACAATGTTACTCGATACTCAGCCTCTAGTTTGTCAAGTGAATCAACATCCAATACCTTCTCACATATTGCATTAAAGAATAAACATACACCAGTGATGGCATGAGTCACATTTGCTGACAAAGAAAGATTTCGGATTGCTAAAGGAAGTATTTGTTGCATTAGCGTGTGACAATCATGAGACTTAAGACCTTGAAGTCGATAATCATCATCAGAAACAATACTTTTGAGGTTAGATGAATAACCATCAGGCACCTTGGTCTCTAGAATGGTTTGGCAAAATTTTTTCTTATCTTCCTTAGAAAGAGTGTATGGTGCAGGGGGTAAAAAATTTCCTTCTGGAATCAAACTTTTCCTTATCTTTAGATGAATAAGATCATTTCTAGCTTTTGGACCATCTTTGGTCTTTGTTGGTTGATCGAGCAATGTGCCATAAAAGTTCTCACACACATTCTTCTCGATGTGCATTACATCTAGTAAGTGACGAATTAGCAAATGTTGCCAATACTCCAAATCAAAGAATATTGACTTGCGCTTAAATAACCTTGTCGGGTCATGGTCTTTGCTGCCACGCTTTCGTTTCCGTTTCTTTTCCTTGCGTTTACCAGGTTTGTAGTTTATTGATTCAACCTCTTTGAGGACATCTTGAGCTGAAAAGGTTTCAGGGGGTCCCTCTCTCTCTACTTTGTTGTTGAAAACCTTCTTCAAGTCTCGAAACTTATGGTCATGAGGTAAGAAACGACGATGGTCCATATACACACACTTCTTACTGAATTTCAGCCATGTAGAACGAGTTTTTGGGCCACAAATGGGACATGCATAATAGCCTTTGTAAGTACACCCGGATAAGTTACCATATGCCGGAAAGTCACTAATAGTCCACATAAGTATCGCCCTCATTTTGAACATCTCCTTCTTAAACGCATCGTAAACATCTACACCCTCGTTCCAAAGAATTTTAAGGTCATCGATCAGTGGTTCTAGGTAGACATCTATATCATTTCCGGGTTGTTTGGGACCAGATATTAATAGAGATAACATCATGAATTTTCTTTTCATGGTCAACCAAGGCGGAAGATTATAAATGACTAACTGAACTGGCCAACAACTATATGTAGAACTAAGTGAGCTGTGTGGATTGACTCCGTCACTTGACAAAGCCAATCTGAGATTCCTAGACTCTTGACTAAAGTCTGGCCATGTCTTATCTACGTGTTGCCAAGCTGCACAGTCAGCTGGATGGCGTAATTTACCATCTCTTACTCGGCCGATTGCATGCCAATTCATGTTTTCAGCTGTGTTGGTTGATTGGAACATGCGTTTGAACCGCGGAATAGGAGGAAAATACCATAACACTTTCGCAGGAATTCTATGGCTAAGATTTATAGCTCCATTCTTTTTTTCCTTAAACCTACTCTCCCCACACATAGGACATTTATCAAGATCGCTGTGTTGTTTATGAAAGAGGATGCAATCGTTCCGACAAGCATGTATTTTTTGGTAATCTAATCCTAGAACCTTCATTATTTTCTTAGCCTCATACATTGACTTGGGAATGGAATTATCAGAAGGCAATATGTCTGAAAGTGCTTCTAATAATGAAGTAAAACTTTGATCAGACCACCCATATTTCCCCTTGATGTTAAATAATAACATCACCCCAGACAACTTTGAATAACTTGAACCTGGGTAAAGTGGTTTCTCAGCATCTTCAATCACATCCCTAAAACTCTTAGGGTTATTGCCTAACTGATCATAAATGTCCCCTAACATGTCCTCAATTTGGTTGTGGTCATGAAATTGTGAATGAGAAGTGCTAGGTGTTGGACTTTTGTCGACCTCCCCATGCTTAGTCCAAACAAGATATGTTTCCAGAAAGCCCACTTTGAATAAATGGACTTTAATTTTTTCAGGGGATTGAAAGTCCATATTGCAACAAGTTTTGCATGGACATCTAATTGACCTACGATTTGCAGAACTAAGTATAGCACAATGTATGAAATCATTGACCCCTTTTATATATTCTGGAGACAATCTGTTTCCATCCCTAATCCAAGACCTATCTGTTTGCATATTAACACCTGATATGTGAACACAAAGAAAAAAAGGAGCAACTCAAACAAGTAGAATCCTGATTTATAAAACTAGGAAAGAATCATATATGAATTGCTAATTTCAATGTATGGAAAAAAAATATGAAGGAAAAGCAGTAGGTAGATTCAATAGCTTAAAGAAAATTCTAGCATTCAAGATGGTCCTATAGAGCACAAAATCATGGGGATGACTAGAATAATAAAAAAAACAGGAGAATCATAAACAAGACAAAATTGGGATAGAATCATATATGAGTTGCTAATTTTAATTTATGGGAAAAAAAATGAAGAAAAAACTAGTAGGTTGATGCCATAGTGTAAAGAAAAAACTAGCATTCATCACGTTCCTACAGACCACAAACTCATGGGGATGACTAAGATAAAAAAAACACATGGCAGAATCTGACCATTCACATGCTACACATACCAAGTGTTGTCTAACAATCTCACAAGCTAGATCAAACAATATGTGAAAGGAAAATTGAAAGCAGAAAGAAGCAGATACACATATACAATCAAATAGGTTACAGATATGTACTCAAGTTATAATGCATGAATTATGTGTCTAGTTTTGAATAACAACATACATAGCATTGTAATACCCAGTTATGAATAACAACAAACTCATGTGATTCTACTGTCAGTCCAAACAAAGCATGAACTTCGCTGAAACTTCCCCATAATCCCAAAGGCATACTCAATCCCCCCAAAACGATAGCAACACATTTGTAGGGGTACTCACTGATTTAATTACGAGAACTAATCAAAGAAAATCTTGACTAATATAGAAGAATTTAATCAACTAGAAGACATATAGTGAGATGAATGACATACATAGGTGTTGAGCTGCCAGATAACGCTTAAGGCTGTGAGGATCCCAAACCACGAAGCTGTTGTGTTTGAAGTAGGTCTGTCACTGAGTCTGTTGCAACAAATTATAAATTAGAAATGATCACATGAGTAATTAGAAAGTTAAAAAAGTTTTCAACTTTAAATTCTTAATTATTTGAATCAATAAAACTTGGAATAAACCAAGTACTGATTTAAACCAATAAAGATTCAATTAAAACTTAAAGCAAGTACATATTACTGTGTATTTACAAACTTACGGAGAACATGTATAAAAGCCAATTACACCACTTCAAATACTTTTTTTCAGTTTCTTTAATACCAGAAAAACAGCAACCTGAAATATATACACAATTCTATGATTTTAGATTAAATCAAAATCTAGCCAATATTTTAGAGTATTTGCTTAATTGTAATGAGACTACAGAGATGACAATGAACCAAACAAATATGAAGTTGAGTATTACTCTTGATTGTAAATAATAAATTCTATGATAATTAAAGTAATTTATCAATAAACTTGCCAAATAATTTAAACCCTAAAGC